CCCAAAGACCCTGAAGTAGACAATGTCCCCTGGAGATGGGCTTTTTTTTGTTGTTTTTTTCTTTTCCTTTTTTCTTCCCCTTAAAGAGAGCCAACTCAGAAATGCTCAGTTCAGGGCAGATTTTTAAATCTTGCCCTGCTTCGTTTCTGCCATCTGCTCTCTCTCTGTCAGCTCCTGAGTAAAAACTAGCATCTATAGTCAAGGACTGAATTGCCATAGTTAAAATAACATCAGGGGGGTCGCCTGGGTGGCTCTGTCGGTTAAGTGGCCGACTCTTCATTTTGGCTCAGGTCATGATCTCACGGTCCGTGAGTTCGAGTCCCACATCAGGCTCCGCGCTGATGGTGCAAAGGCTGCTTGGGATTCTCTCTCCCCCTCTCTCTGCCCCTCCACCGCTCACACGCTCTTTGTCTCAAAATAAAAAAATAAACTTGAAAAAAAAATGACATCAAGAAATACACATAGAGACAGAAAATGAGTGTAGATTGTTAGAGAGGACAAGCACTAATAGAGAGAGAAAAATCAAGGCCAGCCAGGGTGGTCAAGGAAAGGGTCATGAATCAGGTGACGAGGAATGGATAGGATGTAGGCAGTGAGAGAGAAGCACTTCCATGTTAAGAAACACAAAAACAAAGCTCAACTCCATGCTGGGGGCAGTGGGAAATGCTACTTGTCCAACAAAGTGGGGCCAGATAATTGGGGATGCAGTGGGGAGTTTGAGAGGCTGGGAGTAGACCAGGGAAGGTCTTGAGCAGAAAAGCAAGGTGATGAAAGAAGTGTTTAAAAAAAAAGCAAGTCTGGAGGCGCCTGGAGGGCTCCATTGGTCAAATGGCAGACTCTTGATTTTGGCTCAGGTCATGATCTCATGGGTTCAAGCCCCCACATCGGGCTCCATGCTGATGGTATGAAGCCCACTTGGGGTCCTCTTTCTCTCCATCTCTCTGCCCCTCCCCCGCTCATGCTCTCTCTGTCTCTCTCAAAAATAAATAAATTAAAAAAAAAAATCAAGTCTGGTTACGGAATGAATAAGCCACAGGGATGAAAGGCAGAGTATATGGAATATAGTCCATGGTACTGTAATGGCAACGTAATGGGGCAGATGGTAGCTACACTTGGGGTGAGCACAGTGTGAAGTACATACAGACTTGTTGAATCACCAAGTTGTACACCTGAAACAAATGTAACATTGTGGGTCAACTCTGCTCAAGTTAAAAAAAAAAAAAATCAACTCTGGGAGAACACTGTAGGATGGACATGAAAGGAAAACCCAAAGTAAAGGGTGGCCACTGGAAAGACGGTTGTTAACTTGGAGAGCTGAAGGCGTCCAGGGTCTATTCTGGGGACGGGGGAGTCACTGGGAATGGAGAAGAGGAAGAGCCCAAATAAGGAATTGAAGGTGGAGCCAAGAAGTGAGGGAGACAAGCTGGGCTGGGACGGCAAGGAGGCTTTTGGACATGATGAATACAAAGTAAGAAGAGGACACTCAAGTGTGAAATATCCAGCAGCAGATAAGCTGTAGAACAGGAGCTGAGAGAACGAAACAGACCCCAATTAGAGACTTAAGAGCGTTCTATAGATAAATCTGAAGTCCTAGAATGAGAAAGAGAAGGGAGAGAGTGCATAAGAGCCCAAAAGTGACCAACAACGGAAACTCGGGGCCATTTCAAAACTAGAAGTTCACAAGAATATGGGCACATGAAAGGAACAGAAAAGGAGCGATCAGTGTGGGATAAAAAATTCAGGATCCAAGTGTCACAAAATGAAAGGAGTTTCAAGAAGGACTTGGTGACAGATGATGGATGACACATAAGGGCCAGAGCATGCTAAACGTACCATTATACTGCTTACAAATGAGCAGGTGGGTTTTCCCATCTCCACTAGTGACATAGTAGATACAATTATGTAATTGATTAGTGGACAGAAAAAGGGGTTTTGTGGCTATAAGACATGCTCTGTTTTATGTTGTTTTTTTTTTAATGACAAAAGAGAGCTATATTAAGATCCTGTCATTCTGTTACTATAGATTGATTTTGAGGAATGTCATTTGGAATTTGTACTCTTCTGGGAGCTGCTTTGTTACAGATGCGAAGTATTAAGTATTGGCCATGTATTGTAAGTGTGTGAGTAGCATATTAAAGTGTGCAAGTCCGGGGGCGCCTGGGTGGCGCAGTCGGTTAAGCGTCCGACTTCAGCCAGGTCACGATCTCGCGGTCCGTGAGTTCGAGCCCCGCGTCAGGCTCTGGCCTGATGGCTCAGAGCCTGGAGCCTGTTTCCGATTCTGTGTCTCCCTCTTTCTCTGCCCCTCCCCCGTTCATGCTCTGTCTCTCTCTGTCCCAAAAATAAATAAATGTTGAAAAAAAATAAAAAATAAAAAATAAAATAAAATGTGCAAGTCCTGACAAAAGCTGTAAGAAATATCCCAAAGCATTTAAAAACTGATAGAGGGATTATTAAGTAACTCATGGGATTTTGCCAGGCCCACACAAAGATTATGCTTCTGGTATCTCAAGAGCTCTTGGGAAGTAATGCCTCTTACCTCCTCATGAAATACCCAGTCTGCGTGCAGGGTTTATCCTGAACCAGACTTGCACCTCCTTTTATTTTAGTTGTGAACCATCTGGGAAGCCACCAGAGCCGGAATGCAATGTCTCTGGCCAGTTTTGGTGTTAAAAATCACTCAAATCCGGGGCACCTGGGTGGTTCAGTGGGTTGAGCGTCTGTGGCTCAGGCCATGATCTCGTGGTTCATGAGCTCGAGCCCTGCACGGGACTCACGGCTGTCAGGGCAGTACCCACTTCAGATCATCTGTTGCCTTCTCCCTGTCCCTCCCCTGCTTGCACTCTCTGAATGACACAAAGAAATTAACAGTCACTAGTGACTACAGACAGATCCAGGTTTTGAGGGGCCTGAAGCTTATATTACTTGCATGCTTTTTTCTAAGAAAAAAAGAATGCCACGTTACCAACACAAGACTCAGCATGAAGCTATTTATTCGGAATGAGAGCCAGAAGGCACCTGCAGCTGTAAGGCCATAAAGCATGAGGGTCACCACCTACAGGGTAAGTCCACCTCTGCTCAAGACCACCTACTGGGAGTAAGGTGCGGACAGGGAGAAAGCAGGTAATCAGGCAGAGGGAAAATGAAAGACAAAATGCTCCTTAAGGAATACTGGAGCACAGAACAAGAAAAGGACAAAGATAAAATCCCAGAAAGAAGTTTGAATTGCAAAATCAATGGGAGATGGGAGATGGGAGAAGAGAGAGAAATAATCAATTTACTTTACAAGGCCACACTATCAGAATATTTATTTCCTAGTGATCACCAATCACATTGCTTCTAGGAGGCTTGCATAGGAGCACCAGGTTTTTGGAAACAACCATTCTCTTCATTGCAGGCACTCAGAGAGTGGTTGTTGAATGAACGAATGAATGAATGAATGGAAACAAGAGAAATATAGTTCTTTTTCTTACTCGCCACCAGGGTCTGCTTTCCTCCGATGCTCCAACATACATGCATGCTTTTTTTGGCACTGGCTGGAGTTGTCAAAGCAGCAGCTCAGGCCAACGTCTTCTCTGGTGTTTCAGACTGTTGATCCTCAACAGACCAAGTCAAAAGCTATCTCCACCCAAAATTAATTTGTAAGCATGTTCAGAGTCTCCCCAAAAGAATTATACACAAAAATGGCTACTGTGGGGCTACCAGACTTACTCCCTTCCACCTTCTTTCTCCCTCTTCCTATATCAAATTCTGCAGATATATTTCAGAAATTAACACCTTCCCGCTCCTGGGCAGATTCACGCGGGATTTTAGCTAGGGCTGAAACACAATTCCTAAATTTCAAATATTTTACCAATTATGACAGCCTAAGTGACAATTTAATATATCAATCATGATGAGATTTCCAGGAAAATACTGGCAAGCCTCATGCACCACTCGGTCAGCTGCAAAACCAAGACAGGACCGGGCGAACCCAGGCTCACCAGCTCCACACAGGACAAGATTCAGATGGTGGGAGTGCTTATAAAAGACACAATCAGCCTCTGCTTCAGAAAGGGATTCCCTTTGGGCAATAAACGCCCTACACTTTCCTGCAAGCTCTAAGAAATGGTGGGAGTTACGTTCAACCTAAAAGCCCATCCTCTTCTTAAAAAAGAAATATTGGGGCGCCTGGGTGGCTCAGTCGGTTAGGTGTCGGACTTCGGCTGGGTCATGATCTCGGGGTTTGTGGGGCTCCAGGGTTCCAGCCCCAGGTAGGGCTCTGTGCTGACCGCTGGGAGCCTGAAGCCCCCTTTCGGATTCTGTGTCTCCTTCTCTCTCTGCCCCTCCCCCACGGGCACTCTGTCACTCTCTCTCTCCCCTTCAAAATAAACATTAAAAAAAAATTTTTTTTTTAATGTTTACTAAACGATTCTTCCTTCCTCTTCACTCACCAAATTTTCTAAAGAAAAGTGCTTGGAGAAGAGTAGAACTGGAATAACTCTATTACTACCTCCATAGTACAAAAATCCGAACACTGATGTCCTGTTTAGGGCAAAGGACATGAAATGAGTGAATCAAAGCAGCCGCCACCTCAGGGATTAGAAGTAAAGGTCTTAACTGGAAAAAAAAAAAAATGATTTCGCCACTTTCTGGCTAAGTGATTTGACTTCTGGAAAGTTATTGAAAAGTCTCCAGACCTCAGTTATTTGGTTTTGTAAAATGGGGGCGAATATAGTACCCGTCTCCCAGGATTGAGAAAATGCAAGTAACGTACTGAATTTAACTGCACAGCAAGAGCTAGTTAAATGTTAGTATTTAATTGTAGTAAAATTTTTGTTCTGCCTCCCCCAGTTCACACCACAGGCAAAACTGGCCCAACCCCCGCGCTTGCAGAATCCGGGGCCGGGCACTGTTGCACACCAGCATGCACAAAAGAGACCCCCAAACGCCGCGGCGTTACTGCAAGCCCCCACCCCAGGCCGGCCAGGGCCCCTCAGGTTACCGCTACGGCCCACACTGACCTGAGATGCCGCCTCCTATCACGACTACGTCGAACATGTGGCCCGCGACACTCGCCTTCTCCCGACTCGCCATGCTCTGATTGAGACTCTCCCGGGGCGTAGGTATAGAAGTGGGGCCGGTCAAGGGCGGGGCGGACCCTTCTACCGACTCTCGGGGGGAGGCCAGGGGCGGAGTCGATTCTTCCACGGACACCCGAGTGGAGCCGGGCACTGGGGGCTGGGCGGATCCTTGTCCCGACGCTCGCGAGGAGTCCGAGCTCGGGACCGGTCCCTGCTGCGAACCTCGGGGGGAGCCGGGCACTGAGGGCTGGGCGGATCCTTGTCCCGACGCTTGGGAGGAGTCCGAGCTCGGGACCTTTCCCTGCTGCGAACCCCGTGGGGAGCCGAGCATTGAGGGCGGGGCTGTCTCTTGCACCGACGCTCCGGAGACGTCAGAATACCGGACAGATCGTTGCAGCGAACCCCGGGGGGAGCCGGGCACTGGGGGCGAGGCGTTCTCTTGCACCCACGCTCGGTAAAGGTCTAAGTTCGGGACAGATCGTTGCAGCAAACCCCGGGGGGAGCTGGGCACTGAGGGCGAGGAGGTCTCTTGCACCCACTCTCCGGAGACGTCGGGGTACGGGACAGATCCTTGCAGCGAACCCGGGGGGGAGCCGAGCACTGGGGGCGAGGCGGTCTCTTGCACCCACGCTCGGTAGAGGTCTAAGTACGGGACAGATCGTTGCAGCAAACCCCGGGGGGAGCTAGGCACTGAGGGCGAGGAGGTCTCTTGCATCCACTCTCCGGAGGCGTCGGGGTACGGGACAGATCCTTGAAGCGAACCCCGGGGGGAGCCGGGCCCTGAGGGCGGGGCGCTCTCTTGCACCGACGCTCCGGAGACGTCGGAGTACCGGACAGATCTTTGCAGCGAACCCCGGGGGATGCTGAGCACGGAGGACGGGGCGGACCCTTGCAACAACTCTACAGTGGAGTCCGAGAGCTGGGCGGATCCGTCTACTGACACTCGGGAAAAGCCAGCTACTGGGAACCGCAAGGACCCGTGCTGTGACACTAGAGGGGAGTTAGGTGTGGGAGGTCCTTGCACCGAACTCCGGAAGGAGCCTTGCACTGAGGGCGGGGCCAACCTTTGTGCAGACTCCTGGAGAGTGTTACTGGGTGGAGGGGGTGCTGGTGTAGATACCCTGAGGAAGCCGGGTGTCACGGGCGGGTCGGACCCTTGCATCGACTCTGGGGAAGAGTTATTGGTTATAGGAGGTCCTGGTACTGATACTCGGGGGTAGCCGCGCCGTGCGGCCAGGGTGGATTCTGACACCGACACTCGGATGGAGTCTGAGGGCGGGGCGGGGGCTGGTACCGATCCCCGACTGCTGCTGGCGTCCGGGTCGGATGCTGGGGCGGCCCTCTCGGCGGTGCTCAAGCGGGTAGCAGACTTGGGGATCTGGTGACTCTGGCCGTGGGCGTCAAAGCGCCAGAGGCTTGTGTTAGAGTCCGTGTTGGTCCTCCGGCTAAGACTGAAGTTGAGTCGGGCCGACGCGCTGGACCTGGAGGTGTTCTCGTATCCGGTGTCCGTTGCGGACCTGCTCCACGCTTGCCTGGCCAACGAACCCGTCAAGGTCCGCCACTCGGCATGGATGTTCGACCCGGACATGGAAGATGCGGCCGCGCCCGAGGTGGAGGCCTGGCTCGGGATCTGGGCAGCGATGCCCTCGGCTCCGGGAGCGCGCTCGGCCCCCCCGCCACCTCGGCCCCCCTGCGAGGCGGGCGAGTTGTGTGCGCTCATGGTGGTGCAGCGCGTGAGGAGGGACGCGGTGTTCTGCCCTCTGCCCCTCCCCTACGGGCCCCCTCCTTGCCGGTCCCTGCTGTCTCGAACCGGCACTCTCCCGGGCCTGCCCGGGGGTGAGGCGCCCAGCCCACTAGGTGGCGGGGAGACCCGGCGCTACAGCAGCCTGGCCCCGCCTACCTCTCCTGCCCCGAGAGGCGGGCGGCACCACCAAAGGATGGAGCGGTGGGCGCGTGAGAGTTTCAGCCTAGTGCCGTTACTCTCACGCCGTGACTAAAAGTGGACTGGGCCGGGTGGGCTCGGGAAGGGGACTAAGATGGCAGGGTAATGGCCGCGCCCACCCGCTATGGCTCCTTTGTGACGTCACAAGGGGCCAGGGTGAGGTCTGCGCAGCCGCGCGCGGGCCCTCCCTAGGGAGGGGGCGGGGTGAAGTGGGAACTGTTACTTGGGCTTGACTTGGTGACGATTGGTTCTCTGTGGGGTGGTTCAAGCTGAGGTGCTTGACCCAAATCGAAGCGCGTAGGCGAGAAAATTAAGAACTCAACTATCACAGATTAAGTGGGACCTGCACTTTATTTTTTTTTTAATTTTTTTTTAACGTTTTTTTTAATTTTATTTTTGAGACAGAGAGAGACACAGCATGAACGGGGGAGGGGCAGAGAGAGAGGGAGACAAAGAATCGGAAGCAGGCTCCAGGCTCTGAGCCATCACCCCAGAGCCCGACGCGGGGCTCGTACTCGCGGACCGCGAGATCGTGACCTGAGCTGAAGTCGGACGCTTAACCGACTGAGCCACCCAGGCGCCCCGGGACCTGCACTTTAAAAGTGAAGGTGAAGGGCTGGCTAAGGCTCAGAAACAAACAAACAAAAAAAAACGTGTTTCCCCATCCTACGGAAAAGAGGGATATTTAGTGCCCATGTTTTACTGTACAACCAGCCTCTTGCTAGTTTTATCCCTTCTTTATATTTACACTTTATCCTCCTAGAGCTGGTTTGGTCATCATTATTAGAACCCTCGAAAATAGATGTAATTATAACATCTAGGGTAGGTGATGAGAACTCCAGGAAGTTAGCTAGAATCTGTTAAATATTTTTTTAAAAATCAGGGGCGCCTGGTGGCTCAGTTGCTTAAGCAACTGACTTCAGGTCAGGTCATGATCTCATAGTTAATGAGTTCGAGCCCCGCGTCAGGCTCTGTGCTGACAGCCCAGACCCTGGAGCCTGCTTCTGATTCTGTGTCTCCCTCTCTCCCAGCCCCTCCCCAACTTGTGCTCTGTCTCTCTCTCAAAAATAAGTAACCATTAAAAACAAATTTTAAAATAAAAAAAAAAAAGACTCTTAAAAAAAAAGAAAAATAAGAAAAATATTTTTTTAAAATCCACCCTTGGGTGGCTCAGTCGGTTGACAAGCATCAGCTTCAGTTCAGGTCATGATGCCTGGGTTGGTGCTTTCTGCTGTCAGTGTGATGCCCCCTTCAGATCCTCTATCTCCCTCTTTCTCTGCCCCCCCCCACTTGTTCTCTCTCTCCCTCTCTCCCTCTCTCAAAAACAAACACTTAAAAATCCACCTATAACTCTTTCTCTTGTCCACCTCCCAATTCCGTATCAATATCTTGTTGAAGAAACTGTGAGGGAATATATCGTCTTTATCAGGCTTTAAAAGCTTTTACTTTCTAGAAAAGTGGTTGAGATTATGACTAAATTGATAACATTTTTATCTTGTTAGACATTGAAGTGAAGAGGAAATAAGAGATATAAAGAATTCAGACCTTTCCTAAATATGATTCCATCCAACTTTCTCCATACCCCTATTGCATTCATTTCTTTTCATTCAAATATTTGATTTCATGCTACGTGCCAGGCACAGGGCAAAGTACTGGGGATACGTGGGCAACACGAGACAGCCAGAGACCTTCACCGAACATACAGTCTGCTAAAAGAGCTATAGTAGAGGGTATAGACAACCACACGCTTGATGTGTTCTGATAAATGTTTATTTATTTGTGAGAGACAGAGCATGAGCAGGGAGGGGCAGAGAGAGAGGGAGACACAGGATCCAAAGCAGGCTCCAGGCTCCGAGCTGTCAGCCCAGAGCCTGATGCAGGGCTTGAACTCAGAAACCATGAGATCATGACCTGAGCCAAAGTCGGATGCTTAACCGGCCGAGCCACCCAGGCGTCCCTCTTGGTCTGTATTCTAAAGCAATGGAAGCCACTGCATGATTTTAAGCAAAGGGTGATACAACTAGACGGCATTTTGAAAACATCTATCTGCCTACCATGTAAATAACGGGTTGAAGGAGAAAAAAGTAGATACATACGAAGAGTCCAAAGCTTGGGATTTTTCAAAGAAAGCTGTGATGGGGTCTTGGACTAGGGTGGGTGGTGGCACCTGGAGGGCTGTGGACATATTAGAGACATTTACATGTAAAACTGACAGGACTTGGTTGTGGCTAGAATTTGGAAGATCATGAGCCTACTTTTGGACATGATCAGTTTCAAATGCCTTTGAGACATCCAGATGAAGGTTATAGGGTAGATAGTTGAACAGAAAGCCAGAGACTCAAAGCAGGAGTTTGGCTGTAGATAAAAATGTGGGAGTCTCATTAATAAATAATAAATGAGGGGCGCCTGGGTGGCTGGCTGGTTCAGTCGGTTGAGCGTTCGACTTCAGCTCAGGTCATGATCTGGCAGTTCATGGGTTCAGCCCACCCCAGGTTCTGTTTTGGCAGCACAGAGCCTGCTTTGATTCTGTGTCTCCCTCTCCCTCTCTCTGCACCCTCCCCACTTGCATGCTCTCTCTCTTTCAAAAGTAAATAAACATTTAAAATAAATAGGGGCCCCGGGGTGACTAAATCGGTTAAGTCCCCTTGGGTCACGATCTCACGGCTCATGAGTTCCAGCCCCTTGTTGGCCTCTGTGCTGACAGCTTGGAGCCTGGAGCATGCATCAGATTCTGTGTCTCCCTCTCTCTCTCTCTCTGCTCTCCCCCACTTGCACTCTGTCTCTCTCTCTGTCTCAAAAAAAACATTTACAACAATTAAAATAAATAAATAAATAATGAATAGGATAGGTGAATGGAAATATGGAGATTTCCTCTTTCCATTTTATTTGTTTGTATTGTATATTTTGAATATCTTTTGTAAAAAACCCCAAAAGTTGTTTTGAAATAGATAAATAAAGGAACGATTTCAACATACCCTACAAGTATTATTTCCTCCCTTGTCGGACCTTGGGCAAATTACTTAACTTCTCTGTGCCTGTCTCCTCAAATATAGAATGTCATAAGTTGTATT